GGAATATCACTTGGTGTCAAATCGTACGGTTTATATAGGACAGGTTTTCTGTTAGCAGACTGATCGTCACTGTACTGGGATACTGCAATTGACGATGCCGATCCTGAAGCGGGTTGCGTTGCGTCAGAAATATGAGGATAACAAGAAACTGAACGGGTGTGTTTCATTTCGTTATTCGCGGCCACGACAAACCGAGGAAAATGAGTTGTCATTTCTTGATAATATCCATCATGAACCGATTCTAACTTGCAATCGACTTTCATCTTTTTGTTCAAGCAATGCGCTGAACTGGAAGAACTTTTTCTTTTACGTTTCGTACGTGATGTAGACTTTGACGTTCTTTTTTCCTTTTGACGCCTATTTTTAAACCAAACCTGTGAAAGAAGAGAGCATATGTGAATATCATACCAATGAACGACTTAACTGACTTAAATTATAATTACATATACAACTTAGATACATATTCCATGTTCTCAGTCGAAAACGTAGGCGTAAGTTGCGTCCAGTAAGTAAACATGGAAGGATTTCACACATATTGTGTTCACACGTGTAGTAAAACATTCGATCCCGAGTAAACTGACTCAGCCTGAGTCATTGATACAAAATATAATGCATAACGTTTACCTTTCCGCCACTTACCTGGATAGTATCATCATCTAATCCAGTTGTGATAGACAAGCTCTGTAAATGAAAATGATCAGGGTACTGCGCCGACACAAATGCTTTTTCCAACGCTTCCAGTTGATGCCTTTCAAATCTTGTACGAGGTTTACGCTTTCGATTCGAATCACCCGCTGATTCAATGTGTACATACTGCATTTCGTCGGTCAGCCCCATATCTATTACAATAGACGGACACTGGTGACTTGTGTCTTGTCTGGGAACCACTGTGAATGACATGAAATTATAGTCAACATATTAAAATACATACCATGGAACTAATACGTATAATTATGGCGCACAATACATATGATTACTTATACTTTTTGACAAACATGTATGGTGCAAAGCTCAATTCATAAGTAGTAAATATGGAAGATTTTTATAAACTCAAATGTTGAATAGTGGGAAGCTTACTTTGTATCGTTGACGCGGTCGCGCCATATTGTTGAAGTTTGATTTACGAGTAAATATTTTACGTCGACACAA